CAAGAAGCCTCGAGACTCGTGAATAATGACTAACTTTCCGCACTTATACCAAAAATAACTATTTTAATAAGTGTCATTACCGTAATAGTGCTCATGTCTTTGAACCCAATTCAATTAAATATTTCATCTTTTGTTTTTCTTAATTTATGTTTCCTTTTCATGGCCTTAACTAAAATAAACAAAATACAGACTACCAAGAGACTACGTGGCCTGTAACGATAGTAATAAAACCTCTCATTTTCAAATTGATTCTCCTAAATTGACCTTTAAAACAATTGAGAAAGAACTCACAATATTTTCGCTTCGGATTCGCCTGAATGTAATGCACTCTTGAAATAAACCTGCCCCTTGAGAACTCCGGATTTGAGACGGAATATAAATGGAAAATGAATTGGAATGCAAAACGTATTGAAATTGGTTCAGCTAATTTGATTCTTTCATTTAGATTGTAAAGATTTTCCAGATTGAAGTGGTTATTTTATTTGTGTCTATTGCGTCTAGACACGATACAATATTTTTTTATTTGTATTTTGTTGTAACATTTATGCGAACGAATATGTGTAAAAGCTTTCTTGCTGCTTTCATCAAAACATCGTTGACATTTTGAACTTGCCAATATTCCCAGAGATATTTTTTTTAAAGAAACCAATTATTGCATTGCATTTATTTAGTTTAAATACTGTCAATGGTATGATGTCCATCTTTAGGACTTTTTTCGTACTATTGTTTCTTTTTTCTTCATAATTAAGAACTAGGCTCTTGTCGGTCATGTTGTTTTAGTATTCTTCTGTCTCTCTTTCCTTCGACGTTCCCTTTTACAAGTAAGAAATATTATATTCTTCCTTAAATTAAAAATATTAACAACATGCGCTTGCGTAGTTATATTTAAATCCAATTTATAAAGGTTTACCAAATTGAAGATTATAGATACAAGAGTGACATGGTTTGGCATATTGAAATATGCGTTGGATAATGGAATTGGTGGTTAACATTTTGACAGTTAATTTTGTCCTTCATTGGGTACATGAAATTGTACGTGAAGTACATTAGATAACACATAAAGGTCAGCTTTGTTTACATGAAAGTAAATAAATATATATGAGGGCCTTTACGTCTACGTGAATTCTAAAGTGAATTCCATTGCTCTGGTACTCACAGTACAAGGAATTTCCTAGTTTGAGTCCAGGTTTAGTAGTAATAGAGGTCCTTGTGAAAGAGTTCGTCCAGGGAAGTACTGCCACCTTACCTATTTCTGCCGCCAAGCAGTAATGTGACCATTACTGTTTTCCGGTTTTGAAGGGTAAGGTGCTGGTGAAATTACGTGTGACTTTTCAACTTATGTCTCAGGGTGACGGGCGCTGTGGCAGTGCCCCTCAGATCTTTGCGATTTAAAGCTCTGAGTGGTACTACAACTCCACCTGCGCTTTCCACCAGGTGCACGATTTGACCGTCCCGTCACTTGGTATTATTATTGTTCATTACTGTTAGTGTCACTTATGTGTGTCAATCAATCTTAACTTTCCACACTTTCTTACTTTTTCTGATATTCTCATTGGGGAGATTCGCCACGTTGGCTTAGTGCGGTTTCAAGAATTCACACATTTTGTTTAGCGAAATTTTTTTGACATGCAAGTTGTATCAGATATGAAACTGTTATAGACAAGCGTGTAGCTTACCATCAAGCTCACGACTTGTTCGTCCCGTAACTTGATATCATAAAAAAAACGGTAATTGTAATAGCTATCTGGCACATTATTAAAGTTCTTGCTTACTTCTTACTACTTAACCAATTATTCCAAAAGTTATGGTCATACTTTTGGAATAATTGGTTTCACAGATAGATATGCCTTGTAAATAGTTTCATTTGAGTATAATTATCTTAATATAAATAAAACAAAGGTGTTTCATCATTTATCATCAACTACTTGATCTGCGCCCTTATTTTCTTATCTGTATTAGCTATTTTAGGCCATTCACCAACTGAAGTAAGCTCTTCATTATCATTTTCATAGATCATGACAAATGGGCATTGTCGTATCTGCTTTTATTGGTTACAACCAAAATGGTAACAGTTTCCAACTGCCGGTTTCCTGTCTCCCTTAATAATATTGATACCGTAAATCTTCCTGAAGTTCCTCGTATTTCATTTAAGATTAAACTATTCCATAATTTTGCAGGTTTTCTCAATGCCAACCCATCACCGCAGTCAAAAGCCCGTGTAGCGAATTACGGGCTTATGGATCAAATAGCAGCTTTACACTGGGTGCAACAGAATATTGCGTTGTTTGGAGGCGATCCAACGAATATAACTCTGATGGGGCATGGTTCGGGCGCTGCTTGTATCAACTTCTTAATGATATCTCCTACTGTTATGCCAGGTATGTATTAGGTTAATTCAAACCAAGATTTCATTTAACGTCTTCCATGACCCAACGGGTTGCACTGTGGGCGTTGGACTAGCAGGCAGGTTTGATTCCCTGGCGGCCCAATTCATAAAATAAGCTTTCTAACATTGAGTGAATTCCATTGCTTTTTTTCAATTGCATGTGGTAGTCAGGTCCATTATTATTTTACCTTAATTGTAAGTGAATACTAATATAAATTCCCTAGAAGTTACACTAGATGACATGTGGAATACTTCGATTTGTTCAAATTTTTAGCAACTCATAAGTAATTTAGAGCAAGATAAAGCTCTTGTAGTGCCAGTGAGGATGTATGGTGCATGTGATTAATAACGGTTCATGATATTTGTGGACATATCAATTCTATTAGTAGTTCGGAAATTAAGTCCCCGTCTACCAACATAAACACGAAATTCAGTTTATATCAACCAAACCATGTAATAGTTTAGGAAGTGCTTTCTATATACGATTATACTACGAGTAAATTCTCATAGTGCCAATGTACACAATATTTTGAAATATGAAGAAGCAAAGTTCATTCATAACCGAATTCCACGGCTAAAGAAACAGGTTTTAGAAGGCATCGAAAACTTTTCAGATATGAAGTCAACACGATACATATCTCAGGAACTTTCACGACCTTGTTTTGTTTACGAGCTTTCTTGAATAACATTTTAGTTTAGGAAAGAAGTGTCGTCTAAAACTTTTCTATTATTACAGTATATTGATTCTAGCTTTTATTTTCAGGTTTATTCCACCGCTCAATTTTACTATCGGGCTCGGCACTTAGTTCGTGGGCGATAGTAGATGACCCTGTATATTATTCATTGAAACTCGCAAAGCATATGAACTGTACTATACCAGAAGACTTGACAAAAGACCATGAAGTTATAGTAGATTGCTTACGAGAGGCGACGATAGAAGAACTGCTGTCAGTTGACATATCACCACCAAACTTCTTGACAGCGTTCGGTCCTTCAGTTGATGGAGTGGTCATCAAGACTGACTTTGCAAAAGACTTCCTAACAATGTACTCCACGGGAGATTTCCCAAGCTTCGGGCCTTTGAACAATATGAATTTGAATTTGAACATTCATATAAAAAGGGGTGATAGTGGACGGAGATTGTTCCAGAATAAATACGACTTATTGTTTGGTGTGGCGACTAGTGAAGCGCTTTGGAAGTTTTCAGCTCACGATGTTCAGAATGGCATAGAGCCGGATAAGAGGGACCGCATGCTGAGGTAGGTAATAAAGTCCCTATTGTAAGTCTGCGCAGTGGCCATTCGGTAAATCCGATGAAATGGCTTCGTCGACGCAATATATTGCGACTGAGTGCACTCATAAATGGAATTGATATTTTAAAAGCAGAATTTGAAGATTGATTTTTGAGATAAAATGTGGAAAGATTTATTTCAAAGACCAAGTATTTATTTGATCCTCATATTGTACGATGAAATGAGGTATTTATAATATATATATACAATCTTGACTGAGCTACTTCATTGAAAATATCGGAGTACATTGTTGTTGAGGGCGTCAAATTCTAAATTGTTCTGATTCTATTTATTTTTTACAGGACATATGTAAGAAATGCGTACACCTACCACTTAAGCGAAATTTTCTACACAATTGTCAACGAATACACCGACTGGGAAAGAACGGTAGAGGTTTGTTTGTTATTACATCGTAGGGCTTTTAATTTTTAACTACAATTCAAGTATATATATATTTTTCTTGACCATTCCTCTCGGAGTACGAATTAATTTTTATACAAAGAGGCAGTAATAGCACTTAGCATATTTCAGCTTAGTTTTGAGCAAGAATATATGAACATTTTCCAAGTTATCTGTCGATTATTTTACGATATGTCAATAGGCTCTTTCAAAAGACTCCATTTTCTCTGAAGACTTCTTGATTCTTTCATCAAAGTCTACTTCCAATAAACATAACTCCGTGCTTTGTGTTCCAACTCCCAAACTTTTGAATTCTTCGATTAATAGTGTCACTGCGTTGTCGAAGTTTGTTTTCGTATGATCTTGGCGATCAAATCCTAAGTAAACATTTTGAACTTGCACAGACCCAATCGCTAGTCCCAAATTCAATTTAAACTTCGACTAGAAATTTTTGAGCAGTTTTCAATGGTTTTATCGATTGTAGATAATCCAAAGACTTCAATTCGACTTGTCAGAAAATTTTCACCCAAGTGATAAATCCTCTTAAATCTTTGTGGAACGGTAATCCTACGGTTTAAATTAGGATTGTTTTGTCTTTTGAATTAGCGAGCAGGATTCGCAGTTTAAATCATAATTGTATTTCTAATCTAAAATACAGAAAGTGTTACACATCAAATGATTCATTAAACATCGCACCTTGAAACCAATACCATCATTAAACATAAAAACCATTTGCGGAAAATGTTGATTAAAATTTCTGAAAATAAGGTTGAATTTGAAAGCTCGAGATTTTCGACATTGACGTGCGATATAATATAGCTTTCCTGTAATATTATTTTCTCCTTTGTAATATTGAAATTTTAAAGATTCTGTTAATTACCATGGCCCTTTAAAATTAAATTTTCAGTAACTCAGTGCGACAATATTTTTTATTTTTCTAAATTGAACCGTACTGCCAGGAGAATAGAGCAGTTATTACTTTTCATCGTACTGTCTACGATCTCATGGCGCCCCGGGAAATTCATCTTCTTCAAAAAATAAATAAACTACAATATTTTTTTTATTGTTACAGAATCCTATCAATACTAGAGACGCAATGGTAGCAGCATTATCCGACGCACAATATATAGCCCCACTGGTCCAAAGTGGAGATTTGTTGAGTGGTGGCCCCAAACTTGTGCCGAGTGACGAGGACGGCCCTAGGAGACCTACTAAGACGTTCTTCTATGTATTCGACTATCAGTCTAAAGACGGATATTATCCACAAGTAAGATGCACTATTGAGTTTACATATGTAATAAAAAAATAAATATTTTAATAAGCTTGAAGTTTTAAGGACAAAATAGACAAACAACTACGACCTAAACTAAATGGATATTGGAAATAAAATTATTTTTTTCTTGTCCTGTACTTTGATCTATCAATTTAAATTTCATAAACCATATCACAAAGGCGCTCTTTTTAGTTCCAAATAAAATTCTATTGTATGTGTTACTCGCTACAAACTAAAAAGTTTTGAGTACAGAACTATAATGAGTTTCAAAAATAGAACGGCGTATTTTTGCTAATTAAATTATCAATTATGACGCTACTCAACCGCTCTGCTGCGTCCTGATTGGTTATAATCTCAGTACAGAGTACTAAAAAAACCGACCTCAAAAGTACGTGGAATTACATATATTTACCAAGTTTTATTGAAATCGCTTACCAGAAAGTGCGCAAACCCGGATTCGTCCCCTAGTTTGCCACTATACGGAACTTGACACAGGAGATAATAGAAATCGGTTCTCACTACTCATAGTATATTGAGAGAGAAAAAGGCCTTGAATTGGAGAATAGCAAAATCAACCATTAAAATAATTGCTCCTTACAATAAAATTTAGGCGCTATTTATAAAAATGAATCTTCATGCGTGAGCAGCCACCCTTAGACGTGGATGATTTTCTTCAAAATTAAATGGGACTACTATGGAGGTACCCTCTTTCCAATAAAAAAATTAAAATTTGTTCACAAATACCACAGTTATCGTGTAAGATACAGACAAAAAAAAGAAACAGTCGAATTGAAAACCTCCTCCTTTTTTTGACGTCGGTTAAAAATATAAACGGTACTTGGATAATCATGGAAACTTCTGTTCTCATTTGGTTTTTGTTTTGTAACGTTTGTTTGACTTCTGTTTGAGTTTGTTGTCGTGGATTGTTAACAAATAGTCTTTAAATAATTTAATTTAGAAAAAAATGTTGTATGCAATCGTTAATAATTACTTAGGTCTTAAAATCTCGTACCTCTTACTTAGGCCACTCGGCAAAGTCTCTTGGCCTAAACACGGTGCCCTATTTTAAGAACCCCCAATTAAGCAATGATTGCAATACTATTTCGGATCTAAATTGCGTTTTTTTTTTTCACACAAGCCATGAGACCCGTTAATGTCCTGAAACGTTGGTTGGTTTAAAAAAACAAATACGCGATTTAGTACCGAAAAAAAATTTTTATTTTCAATGTAAAAACCTAAGTGCTCGAAAATAAATATAATTTAAAATTCTTTTGGCAAGAAAGAGAAACAACTCGCACAGAAGTTTTGAATTCGCTTCATGAAGCTTCCGGTAGGTAGAAGGCTGGCAACTATTTTTCTGTCACAAAATATGTTTAGTTCTCCGAAGAGGATCATTGTCACAGGTTGTGATGAACCACTATTTCCTACCTTTAATTGGAACATATTTAGCACTGTTTTTATAGATAAAATAAGTGCACATTTGACCTCTTTCTCATCCGACGGAAAGTGACAATGAGGACGACAATGGAGCATACACACCAATAGAATGCCCATTCACTCTCGACTTGAATAGACCTAAATTAAACGTTCAGAGAACAAATCTGCAGACAGGGAATTCTATTATTTAATTTAATTTTAATATATTTAGCAAACATAAGGCTTGTGTAGACTTAGACAAAGACAAAATTACAAATAAAACGTTTAAAGAAATAATTGCAAAGTATTTGGAAGAATTTAGCATACAACTATTTCAACATCAAATATTTCAAAAGAGCTTCATTAAAGATAAGCAATTTAACCTGAAACAACTAGAACAGGTCGTTACGCCTAAATGGGCAATTGTTAATGTCAAGTCAATCAATAATAACTTATTACTAGCTGGTGAGTAGTAACAATTTTAATATTTAATGTAACCTCCAATTTAATTTGGAGATCTTGTATTCCTCCATGACGGTGAGGCTACCAATAACCCGGACAGACAAGCAACGCCTACAAAATTGTTTAACTAATATATAAATTGTGAGGCGGTTTCAGGACCAATTTCCCTTAAAATTCTACCGAATATAATTTAGTTAATTAAAGTATTGAATATTTATGGTATTTCTGGGAGAAAAGCAATATCTGATAGTCCCGTAGGGTTCAAAATGGTTAGAACTGTAATATTCGTAATACGAGTCCCAATTTTGGTACAATTGAATGTCTATAATTGAATAATTACGACCCACTATATAATAGAGTAAGAAGGATATTGCATGATTTACGTGATCTATTTTCGGGACAAAATGCGTAAAAACTTAAACGAAATTTTGACAAGTAACAAATAAATCATAGATAAACTGTTAAGCAAAGAAAACATAGCAGCTGCTGTAATTACTTATTGATCACGGTATATTAAAAACCTTAAATAATAAACAGACACTTACTTGAAAAGATGGCTCAATTTGCTTTAAAAACATTTTCTGAAAATTAAAACTGTACGTTTGGATCTTTTGGAATCTGTATAAGCTTGGTTTTATCTTTGAAAAATTCATATAAATTAAATTTGTCAGTCTCCGCGACTTAATGACCATTAGTATTAGAATAATAAATTAACTGTTCGTTTGAAATGTTTCAAGCTGGATGGCTCGATCCTTTTATGTTGGTCGCTCGAACGCTGCAAATAGTGAACGAGGTATATTCAAATGAAATTAGAAATTAGATTCCTCTATTAAGCCGAATTCCAGATTAAATTTAACAAATATTATGTATTAGTAAGAAAGAAAAAAATTGGCACCATGCTTGCCAAGCTGGATAGAGAAGTATGTGATTTAATAAACATAAAACCAGATGTCCAGTGTGGTGTTCTTTGAAAAATTTTTTCGTAAATTCACATCTTCAACTAGCGAATAATTTATCGTGATGAATTATAATTCTTGCTTTGCTGACAACTACAAGTAGATCGAATAATACTTTATGGTGACTTCATGACGAAAGTATTAGAATCGGTCCACGGCTTAGCACAACGAAAAAAACTACAAGGTTCTATAATAGTAAAATACTAAGAAACACTAATACAATGCTTGTAGCACGGATGGCCGGTGTGGCCGGAAGATGCAGCGTGGGCAGACCACTCACAACATGAACCAACGACCCTGTTGCGGGATGGATGTCAACAGCGTAAGCAGGCCGTTGTGGCAATCTTTGTGGGAAGTTTATTTCAGCACATTTTTTGGCTGGATGGATGATGATGTTTTATCGTGCCAACATTACGTTTACATCAGACATTTTCTTGGCACAAATCTCTTTATACACTGACAGCACTTGCAATCCAAATTAATAGTCGCTTTTGAAAAGGCATCATAAATCGATTCCTATTTCTGAACCGACGCTTATGGCACATTTGAATGGAGTTATTGAACGGATAGAACATTTGGCTGCGGTATTTGGTTCGGAGGATTGAAAAAATAATAGATGCAAGATATTTCTCAACTAGTCATGATATATGTACCACAATAAATACACAGTTGTACGTATAATGGATATATCTGATGTGCGCATAAGACACGTACATAGATTGCAAGTATGACACATTGATATTGTTGTTACAACTTAAACAAAGATCGAACACTCAGAAAAAACACTCAGAAAAAATTCCTTCGATCCGGTCCGACCGGATAACAAACTAGTGGAGTAATTTCACAAAAAATAATTGAATATCAATTCAATAAAAATTTAATTAATACAGTGAATAGCGACATCTCTCGCCAGGACTGGTAGCTGTAAAGGTACTAACTGGGTGATCAATCTGTCATAGATTTCTCATAGATGGCGCTACGACTAAAAAGTCGTTGAAAGACCAAGTACAAAGACACGACGCAAGCACATAGAAAAATTGGTGAGGTCCGTTGGTTCGTTCCGTGGCTTAGTTGGTATAGCGTCTGGCACGGTATGCAAGAAGACGTCGGTTCGAATCCGACCGGATCGAAAGAATTTTTTCTGAGTGTTTTTTCTGAGTGTTCGATCTTTGTATTATTAATCATAACAAACTAGTGGAGTAATTTCACAAAAAATAATTGAATATCAATTCAATAAAAATTTAATTAACACGGTTAATTAGTAAATCCCGATGTAAGAATTTTAGAAGAAGTAAGAAATTTAGTAGCACGTTCGACCAGGGAAGTACTGCCACCTTACCTATTTCCGCCGCTAAGCAGTTTGCGAGCAGTTCGTTTTGGTTTCGCAGGATAAGGGTGCTGGTGAAATTACAGGCACATAGGACTTGTCAACTTCTGTCTCAGAACAAGACTCAGCGCAGTGCCCTCAGATCTTTGTGATTTAAACCTCTGAATGGCACTGCAACGTTATAGATATGCGTGTCGCTTACCACCAGGTGCAAGAACAGTTTGTTCTGTCACTTGGCATCGTAACAAAAAGAAAGGGTTTAGTCAAACAGCTGTTTTTATGCACTTTTGTGAGTTCCTGTTTATTAATGCTGTTTATTTAATACATTTATATGTTTTCTCCTGTTACACTCTATTTCACGTCACGATCATGCTATGATATAACATATTTAAATCATCATCTCTATATTAGACTATACCCTATTCAAAGTCTGAAACAACCACAAACATTCCAATAAACATTGCTAAAGTAGCATAGTCTGGAACACTTATGCTTGTAGTGTAGTGACACCAAGTGTATTCTACATACTTTGTATGCATACACAGTTGAAGACTTAGACTTTATAAATATTAATAAAGCAACTTTGTAATTTTGTGCTAAAACTGGATTCAGAATATAAAGACTTAAGAATTAGACAAGAAAAATTAAATAATAAATAAATAACTCATACACTCAACATAGCCCCGCACTAGGGAAACCCTGTGTCGCGGGTGCCATGGACACACACATAGACAACCACAAATTACACCCAAACTCACGAGAGAAATAAATGTAAGCCATACAAACATTTTTCCCGGCACGGGAATCGAACCTGGGACCTCTGCGTGGCAGTCCGGCATGGTAACCGTTGGGCCACAGAGGCAGTTAAATTCAATCAGTGATGTGCATTATAATTTTAGATAGTAAGTACTTCTGGAGAAGAAATAATTATAAATTATATTCAATATCTTTTGATATATTTATATTAGAAAGGATTGCCATGCCGGCATGGTAACCGTTCGGACACGGAGGCAGTTAAAGGTATATATATTGATATTTTTACTTAATTAATAGTTCATATTCTGATATTTTTTCTACTTTCGAGTGTTTGTCAATATTCATATCATAAAATCTACATCAGACGATCTTTTCACTTCAGTAACGTTAAATAATATTATAGTCAAAGTATCATCATAAGGTCTCTTAAATTCATGTCCACTTAATTGTAGTGGACTAATGAATGAAAGGGTCTAAAGACGGCTAGTTAGGCAGGACGGGGCGGCTATAATAGAGAATCGAGGCGGTTCCGCTGCATCGCTGTGCGTTGAGTTGCCAATAATGCCGATTGTTGTTGCAAACTCTTGCGCAGTCCTTCAAGCATGGCATAAATCGAAATCTAATTTAGCAGTCTATATGTTATCTGTTATGCGTATTATATGCGTACTTTGTTAAGTTTGAAATCACACGTACAGATATTCTATAGAGCTGATCTAAACGGACAAACTAACAAAAAAAACACATTTGACTAAAACAACCTTATGTCACTAAATTCAAAGTAAATTTGTGATTGCAAACTGAAAACAATTGAAATATGCACTTAAACATGTCGCCATAAGTTTGATTCTAAGAAGGTCAAACTTCAAGATAAAATTAAACATTTATTGGTAGCATTTTTAGGTACTAGTTTGAAATGTGATTTTACTAATATTAATTCCAACTCTATCCATTTATTCTCCTTGACTACTGCAGAGTTCCTTCACAAATCTGAGTAAGCAGAATCTGTAGATATCATAACAGGCTCTTTATTTAAGTGGTTCTCGATTACATACTACTTGCAATACTTACCAACTCTGCAACATTATCGCTCTTGGGCTTGTGTAACCTATAGAGGCTTAAACCTCAATTGATTGCTTTGTCGAACATGAGCTGCTTTATCTAATGTAGTATTATAGAGATAATTCTGAATGTTATCAAATTTACAACTAATTGAGATTCGATCACAAAAGGGTAGGTAACCGAGAATTTTGTGTAACACAAATAAAGGGAATTGTTTCTTGATACCTAATTATTACTAAGTACTAAGTGTTACAATATTATACCTAATCTAACACTTTGCGGCGCTCCTTTAAAAATAGTTGCGAAATTTAAGTACTTGGGTCGTTGGCTGTTCGTTGTAACATGTTGGCCCACAGGTTTGGACGCTATACGAGACAAGTAAAGATTACACTGTTTAAATCTTATTGTCAGTCCTTTTACACGTGCAGTCTGTGGGTCAACTATACGGCCTGCGCGTGCAATACAACAACGCGTTCCGGGTGTTGCTAGGGCTGCCGCGCTATTGTAGCGCCTCGGGGATGTTTGCGGAGTCGCATACAGACTGGTTTGCAGCCATTATGCGCAAGAGGTGTGCCTCGATGCTAAGACGCTTGCGCGGCAGCCCCAACCGCAACCTGAGCGCATTGTCTGCACGCTGGGACTCGCCGATGTTCGCACACTGGATGCGACTTCATAGCATATGATCAGTCGCATAGTTTTATTTTGTTTCTTTTTTTATTTCGTTTTTTGTAATTTTTGTATTGTGTAACTAACCCTTAGAATTAAGCATTTTGTAATTTTAACTAACAATCTATGGACCCAGTTCCGAAATAAATGATTATTATTATTATTATTATATTATATAATTATTACCGGTCGTTAAAATTCTACTATTTTAAACCCCTTAACCTGCCGATTGACACAAATTTTAATTTACTTAATATAATGGCACAGGACACATAATAAACAATGTGACGTGAAATGCTATTCTTTTCACTTAAGTATTATACACGTAGTAATGCGATAAAATAAACGCTTATTATTTCCAATCAAATAAAATTTTAAAGTTCAACATACACAATTTTAAACAAAATAGCCACAAAGTAAACTGTATTTAGAAAGGTAGTGCGTTGATGGAAATCGCTATGAATATTCAATTAATAGACCTCGCCTCAACGACTGAGGTGTTGAAATAGGGAATAAAAGTACGGTTTGCACAGTAACTGATTTTATAGATTATTTACAAATAAACTTGTTTTGTTGCAGCGCATGGGAGCAGTTCACGGTGAAGAGATGCCATACGTTTTCGGAGCACCACTAGTCGACGGCTTTGGACACTTTCCACAAAATTACACAAAGTCAGAGATAGCGCTCTCTGAATCTATTATGCTTTTTGTCGCCAACTTTGCTAGGACTGGGTGAGCGATAATTTTTTGTTTAACTGAATTGTTCCTTCAAGCTTCAGTGATTTATAAAGTGCTTGATTTGATATTTAAAACTTACGGTTTGGTATTGGTTTGTTCAAACTATTTACATCTAACTGATGCTCTGCACAAGTCTCTGTCAATGAGAATACTCAAGTTACACCACGATGACGCAGCTTCAGTCGAAAAAAAATCTATTTCACCGAATATATTCATGTAAATACAATTTTGTGACGATGTTAATTTTGCTAGTAATACCAATAATTGAAGTTCGATTGTTAACAAAATTGTGTTTGAAAGATAACAGGATTTATTAAATACACATGACCTAAATAAACTGGTCCTAAATAAGCACCATCGAATATTTAAACTAAATCTAAAAGTTTTTCTTCTTATAATTAATTACATTGGAACGATTTATATAACAAATAACGACACGGTTAGAGCATCTACTGTCAATCGTTCATTATCACTGGTTTTCTAAATTGTTTGGCGAATGTCACGTGTTTTGCTGTAAAAGATTTAAACCCACTAACACCAAATACACACCGATCTAAAACCAACTAGCCAAACATTTCTATTTCAAATTCTGATTGAGGTGTCCCCAAGGACTTGAACTTGGTCCACAACTGTTCAATACATTAAACATGAACCTAAGACTTGAATAACATCAGCGATTCACTTTAATCTGGCGTAAACATGCAAATATGTACCGTTTAGATATTGCAAACTGCATTAAATAAGACAATGCTATGGTGAACTTCGAGTAGTCAAATCATACTTGTGCAAGGTTTAAATGAATTACGTAATTGCTAAGCGAGCGTGTACATAATTGATAAGAAGTTATAGCTAGCATTCAAAGGTTTAATAGATTTAAAGAGAAACTTGGAAGGTGAATAGAATAGAACTTCCCGAATAAAGCTCCATTGTCGTTGGAGGATCTAATTTAGGCTGAAAGCGTTTTAAAGCTTTTGATAAACGGAATCATTGAAAGGTGAACAAAAATTTCCTTGCACCATTCATTGTAGTAAAAATTCATATGATATTGTTTCATTTCTTTTCTGCTTTTTGTTACGTAAAATCCGTTTCAGTAAAGTTCTTGGTACGTAAGGTTAATAAAGATTGCAATTGTGCAAGGTTTATAATATAGGTTATACTCTGGAATTTTGATAACACATTCATACAAGTAAGTTATAAAAGAAAATAGATGATCGAATCACGTATCTGATTGATAAATTATAAATAATAAGAAAAATAAGCTAAAAGATAAAAGTGCAAAGTGTTAAGGATACCATCGACCGAAAATCTACGTTACCTATCAGTAGTCCGAAATGACAATTTCCAGAAATAACGTTTGGTCGAAATTTCATAACCTCGAAAGTAATTTTGAGAGGAAAATGTTTTTTTCTTTTAAACCTAACTTAACCTAACCTAACCGAACCTAATCGTGTCTTTGCGATAAACATTCAACGTATCCTGAAAGAACACCTGTTTCATTATAATTTGGTTTTCGGTGTAATGAAATTTCGAAGAAACATTGTTTCGGACAAAAAAAAAATTCGGCTTTGTGATAGGTTGCCGAAAATGTAACATAAGCAATAATAATGTGTCTAACAATCACACCAGTTACACGGTTACAAATATTGTAATCATAGCACGTGGAATTCCCTCTGCTATGAGTACCAAAGCAACGAACTCACTTTGAAGCACTACCCAAAACATCCAGGACTCAACCAATTTAGAAAAGTTCATTTTTTTCCCAATTCGGAATCACTCATCCAGCGCCCACTGTGCAATCTATTGGGCTATTGATATCGTCATTCAAATGATATAAATTGGGTTATGTAACTCTACAGATAACTACAACCAATATCAAATCACATGCGTCAAGAAATCCCAGAAGCAATTCGAAAGCAATCATAAAATGTATCATTTACAAATAAACGTCTCTCCGAAAACCATTAGGATAAATCACATGCAAAAAATATCTATATTTACCCGCATGAACGCTTGTTTACTTCGTTACAGGAACCCGAATGACAATATTCGACAAGAGGTCTTACTGCCTGCTTCGAGAGAGAGGAATAAATTCAAAGGCATAAACTGGGAGGAATATGATTCGACACACCAAAAGTATTTGGAAATAGGTTAGTAAATATTTCGGGAAGGAAAAGAAAGTTAGTAACGCATTGGTCGAAGATAAATTCTTTGTTCAGCCACAATACATTAGTAACGTTTTGGTTACAATGCCTATTTTCCTCACATTGGTACCATTTTAGTAACGTGTGCATTTTTGTCTCACTGATAACGTTTTCGTTACACATTACAATGAAGGCTGCTAAAAGTTTTACTGACGTAGTAAAATATTTCGAAGATTTATTACAAGAAGAAGATGTAAATTTTATATAACGATGTTTTGTTAGTAATTTTTGTTGTTATTCTTGGAACTTATCTTCATCTAATAAAAAAAAAATTAATAATCGTTTATGTAATTTGTTTTTGTTCATAGCCACGTTAAACCGACATTTAGATAATGAAAGGGGATATTAGCGTCATGTTATTCATAATTGTTTACACAAAGTGTGGGTTTAGCGTTTGACTGTATTAGCTTTATTTTGTACTTACTAACGTTCATTTCGTACTTCGTGCTTTGTTTTTCTTATCTATTTAATTAGTCAGTTTTCCAAAAATAATCATTTTCTAGTTACGTCACTCTATTATTGAAGGGACAATTAATTATGTGAATGATTTCTTTTATATTTTCTCCTTAGCTAATTACCTAAGCTAATAGATCCAGCAAACTCTTCTTACTTACAACAAACTACACTACAATATCGTAGAACAGGCTAATTGCTACAGTGGGACCAAATACCCAATTATAACTTTTGTCTCATGGGTAACAATTTGTATGATAATTCCGCAAACATTAACCTTCGTAGTTTGTGTGACCTATTACACCGGGTTGACTGTCGAAGTTGCTGAATAGATACCGTTACTTTAGAATTTCTGAACGAGAATGTTTGTTAACAATTTCATGTTTTCATAGCTACACACATGACTCTGTATTCTGTTGTTATTGGGTATTTTCTAAAGAAAATTGTATATAATTAGGATGTAATACGAGAAAGAAACTTTGTATTAAGGGAAACTTGTGGTTTTCCTCATTTCTTGCAATAATTTCATTCTCATTATAGAAATTGAACTAATTAAATTATTACTTTTACGGTTACTATGCAAGAATGAGCTTCAGTTTGTTCATTGTCATGTTTTATTCACAGGTATGAAACCTCGACTGAAGAATCACTACCGAGCACATCAGATGTCAGTTTGGCTTCGTCTCGTTCCAGAACTTCACCGAGCTGGTATGGACGACTTTGGCGCCCGACACAACCTATTCAAAAACCACAACGAACAAGACTTGTACGAGGGCATTGTACGACCCGACCCGCTCGCTAGAAACCCTAATGAGAACGAACAAAGGAAGAACGGTAGTGTGTACTCAGATACAGCGCTGACTACAGTCGATACAATTCTAGCCACCTGTGTTACCCTACTGCCAAACGGAAGAGACTTGCAAACATTGAACGCCACCGAAAACACTCTAGCTAATTTAGAGGCAGCAGGCTATGCTGCATATTCCACTGCATTAAGCGTCACCATAGCTATAGGCTGCTCTCTGTTGATACTGAACGTGTTAATATTCGCTGGGGTATACTATCAGAGAGATAAATCCAGGTCGCGCGGGAAACAATCACGCTTTAACGAGAAACATTTCGAAACGATATCGGGGAAGCATTCTCATTATCATATGGATCCGACACACGCTCCAAGCTTAGTCGTTGACGTTGAGAGGCAGAACAGAAAAAAGCAACTCAACGATCCCCACGTAATGAATGTGAATTTTAAAGGGCCACTAGATGTGCCAAAATCGCCGCCAAGCCCGACGCTCAGTTTAGATAACATGATGTTGCCGAGCAAACTGGGCAGTCGGAACAGCAGTTTTCGGCTACCGAACGTCAATTACCCGCAAATGGGTGGGTACGCGACTATGCCCAAGAATTTGAGCCAGTTTAATAACTCCCCGTCCTTACAGGAGTTAAGGCAGGCGAAATTCCAGCCTCCGAACGGCTCGGCGGCACAGGGCTCCCCGGGGGGAGGTCCGCGTGTGGGGGACGAAACGAGGGGGCCTCACGCCACGCTCCGCCGCGGCAAAGCCTCCCTCCATGCGTCTAACCTCCCCCAAGCAGCCATTGACGAAATGAGAGTGTGACATTTAATCCCCAGAGACTTTACTTTACAGGATTAAAAAGTGTTTCCCTCGGATTTTAAAACGTGTACGTGTGTGTAAATAGTTGTGTGTGTGGGAGTTGAGGATTTTTTTTAGAAAAAATGTTATCGATTTTCTGAAACAATAGATATGATTATCGAATTAAATCAACTGTATTATAAAATTTTGTTTCATTATTTACAAAACGTTAAATAGACATAAGGAATAGTCAATTGTCTAATTTACATTAGACAATTGACTATTCCTATGCAGACATAAAATATGCACTAGATACGAGGTCGCTCCGTCAGAAACTTTGTTGTAGAGCGAAAACAATTAACCGCCAACACTACCGGTAATATCAAGTATCAAAAGCTGGCAGACCATTCAACCAAACTGGACCGTAATTTCTGAATATCAGTGAGCTCATAGTGGATAGTTAGAACAAGGTCTAAGAGAGCATTTTGCTAGGAATGCGTTGCGGTCGACGATAAACAAGCCCATAAAGGGTCTTTGTTCGATTCCCCGAACGGCATACGTAATAGGACACGCAGTAGAGATGGGATTAGTTTATTATCGATTGAAGGTCAGCAGTGAAGGTTTCATTAGCATTACAACGGTCTCAATGAAAACAAACTATCTACATATCACGACTTCGCATGATAGATTCTGCATTTTGTTTTAAACTCAAAAATAGAAATCTTTTCTAATATAAATATATCAAAAGATATTGAATATAATTTATAATTATTTCTTCTCCAGAAGTACTTACTATCTAAAATTATAACGCACATCACTGATTGAATTGTTATTAGCCTATTCATGTGTAATATTCAACGAAGAGAACTACACGATAGCTTGTATTATGTTCTAACACGTATGAAACTATGAATATATGTCACGCTCCTGTATATCTCTTGCTTTCTTCGCTCCCATGACTCTTCTCATGCATTTGTTCTTAGTAAACCTGATCAGGCTTTTTGTGGGGTACCTACACATTAAATTTGATTGATATATGTACATTAGGATCTTTCCCCACGTTTCTCTCTTCGTTCACTCAAAAATCTACGTCGGTTTTCGTTGAATAACCAAAGTATGGCAACATTGTCTTCACTACCCAAGTTATAACATCATTAACTACAACTCCTTACCTCGTAATTATAATATTTGTCCATCAATTTATATTGGGTAAATATTCAAATATCGATAACTTACTTTCACTATAAGTGCAAATGTATTACCTCGTTTTCGTATCTAGTCGACTCCAGCTCAAGATTGAGTGACATCTTAAAAGGTATCGTACATAATAAATTAACTCTTAGAGATGCGGTTTCACATCAAATAATGGAACGTTTTTGACTTAATTAACTAATTTTGCCGAGGACAGGCGCGTTCTACGCAAATTAAACATGAAAAGGGTTAAGACGCCGTCAATTGTCGGCCTGAATTTGGTGTGTGTAGAAATTCCCGCCGACGTTAATGAAGCCGTGATACAAATTCATAGACGCAATTATTACGAATTATAAATGTTGAGACAAGCTATACTGCTGATGTAATAGAGACCCAAGTAATACAACAAATTTCGTGACACAGGAGGTTAAAAAAGATAACAGTAACAATAATACATCAGAGAACGACACCAATGAATTACCTGTTCTCAATGGAGATAGTCCCCGCACTATGAGACTAACACACTCATAGCAGAATCAATTTGGGAAAGTTCATTTACCCAACTGGTCAGAACACTACGAACCAAAGTTATAACAAGTTAATATACATCAAAATCTATCTGCTTACTATGCCGCCCTAAACATTTGTAGGTACCTAAGTGATATAGAACAACTATTACATCGTTTAATTTCTTTGATGTTTTCGAAGAACGTAAAAGAACGTTATTTGGCCATACAAAATCTCAATAATGACGTCATTGCTCTAGAACATGTCAAAATATAGAAGCTCTACAATAGCGACACGCAGTATCAGAATTACATAGGATATATAAGCATCACTCACACATACCAATGATCGCTGGTACACACGCGCAACATCGGCACGCGTCAGCGTTCATTAAAGTCGTCAGTATCATTTTAAATCAAATACAAATAAGAGATCGAAGATAATGCACAAATATTTAACAAGTTATTTAATAATAAAAAAATCTAAACAAAAAAATATTTTTCTCTTTTAAATACAATTTAATGTCGAGTGCCCCCATCAATAAGTTCATCAACATGATTTTTCCAACAGGAAATCTTTCAAACGCTGTTTGAAAGCTAGAGGACAATGTATTATTTCAAATATTTACTTTGGTGCTATTATAACACATCTTCTGTTTTTTTTTAGAATAGAAGAAACGTATGAGAAAAATATCTGCTATAGCGCATCAATCGGCATAAGCACGATGTTCGATCCCAGCATAGACCTTAGCTTCAATATTCGTGTAGCAGAACATTCTGATTTAGAAAGATTTAGATTGTTCTAAAAGTAACATTCAGCAAGAAAGTATATCATTTTAAGACAGTGTTTTGCTTACAAAATCAACTGCTGAGTTTCATTACAATTTCTAATTTGACTTGTTATACATACATAGTCACAGGGACTGTAGACAAACCAATTACCAAAATTCTTTATTGAAAATAATTTCTTATATCGTTTTCGCTTTAAAACTGCCTTTAACTCATCTTCAACTACAAATACGTGCGATGCATTATGAGCTAAAGGTATATGCACATGTCGAGTGCAAACTAACAGTTCGGAAAAGTCATATGGCACGACAGTTATAATAATGTCAACTGCTAATATAAATGGGGTTTGTAGCATCTGAACCCGGGCTCGGTTTGCACTGACAAATATTATTTTAATCACGAAATTATCGTTGATTATGCAGCGCGGCGCGGCGCGTAGTCATCAAAATTATAATTTAAAGTGCTTTAGGGCCAACGCATACCGGCAGATGGAATGGCAGAGGACATAAAATTTATCATTAAATTTATTATTTCGAGTAAAATAAGGTATAAATTTCAATGCTCTAAGATCGTCTTCGGAGCATGGCACTAAGAGATACCGTGACGGTAAGCAACGATATCCACGGGATAAGGGGACTTTTCGACCTACCCTGAGATAGGACTGATGACTGATAATGGCTGATCACTTCCATACTCTGCAAAACTATGGAACGTGTACTCAACAACCGTCTCCTGTCGTACCTTGAAGACAACGACCTCCTCGGTGATCGCCAGTACGGATTTCGACGAGGGTGATCTACTGGGGATCTTGTGTAGACCTGTCACATATGGAGCGAGGCTATAGAAAAGCAAGGCGAAGCACTTGCAGTGTCTTTGGACATTTCTAAAGCCTTTGACAGGGTCTGACACGCAAGCCTTTCAAGCTAGCTTCCATGTTATGGGGTTCCCACTGACCTTTGCAATTGGATCTCGGATTTCTTGAGCGAACGTTCGATTCAAGAGGTCTTCGAAGGCTACTCTCTTCCGAACATATGGCGATAGATGACATATGTTCGGAAGTTTCACAGGGTTCCGTACAGTCTGCAACTCTCTTTCTGCTGCATATCAATGATATGTTAATTCCAGGTACCTTTGCGTATGCTGATGATAGCACAGTTGTAGATAGGTACTTGACCAATGCAAAGGTCAGTGGAGAGGAAATCCAGTCTTGTCGAGAGTTCATGGTTACCCGTTTGGATTTGACACTCCAGGCGGTCTCCGATTGGGGCGATTCCAATCTTGTCAAATTTATCGCTACCAAAACACAGGCGTGTCTATTCTCCACAAAACAGAATCCCTTTGAGCTGACTCCGATTTCTCGTGATATATCCATACCGATAGCCGACTGTCTCCAGCTACTTGGAATGGACCTATCGTCCAATTTGAACTTCGGCAGATACATTGATTTCATGGCCAAAAATGCAGCAAGGAAGCTTGGGATCCTTTCCAGGGTTACTTTACGCCGGGACAATTGCTTCAGCTGTACCAAGCACAAGTTCTGTCGTGCATGGAATCTGCTGTCATCTTTGGGATGGCTCTGCTACTTATCAACTGGCCAATTTCACACTTTGACACAATCGTGTCAAGAGGCTTATAAGTGACTCGGAATTAGTGGAGGCGAAGCTGAAGAGCCTTCAACACCGCCGTAAAGTTGCCTGCTTATCGGTATTTTACAGGATATATCACGGAGAGTGTGCGATGGAGTTACACGATTTAATTTCACCTTCCCGTTTCCATCACTGGGAGCTAGGCGTAGGCTTGGGTGCCGCCCTTATGTTGTGAATATTTCAAAGATTCGCACGAAGCGTTACGCTTCCACATTTATATGGCGAACGGCAATGGAGTAGATTTCCCTACCTCCAGACATGTTCCCTGAACGTTATAACTTGGGCCTTTTCAAGGCGAGAGTGAATAGGCATTATTTAGGTGTGCATGCTCCATTGTCGACCTCATAGGCACTTTCCATCAGGTGAGATGGAGGTCAAATGCGCACTTATATTTTATAAAAAAAGACTTTGTAATTGCTAGTGAAACGGAATCAAATTCGACTCTGCGAAGACTCTGCGGTATGCTGGCATACACTCGCAGTTTCATAACGCATCGGCCACGAAACTATCGCCACGCTTGAAGCGGCGATTTGCTGAAAGTGTTAATTTTAAACCGTCAAAATACACCTACGAAGTGGGGGGAGGTTAAGTAGAATTCTTATTATGAATATTTAAATAGTTAATATTGTTTAATATTTTTAGTAGAATACAACAATTTGCTTTCCATAGTAACCAAACAATAAATGAAAACAAAATAATTTGCTTCAAACGCTGACGCGAGGAGCGACAGTTTCGTGCACACTATGTAACATCCTCGTGTGTACTGGTCGACCGCAAAAAACGCGCGTAACGCTCGTGCAAATTCGCTCGTACCAAATTTCACTGGAAGTTGCAGCGTTACTTTGTGGCCTTTTATAAATCGTAATTACGCTCGACGCTGACGTTTGTAGCAATAAACGAATTCGCGTAATTGATATCCCTCAGCTCGACGCTCTCTCCGCCGTCTGCCGGTTTGCACTAGCTCTAAAACCTGATGATTAGATGAGCCTATTATCATTACAACGCTACTATTATCATCTTCCAAGGCTTTGGCAATCAGCGGCAGA